CAGATGGCAGAAGTGTCGGAGGATGATGTGTTGGATCCAGAGGTTGGTGGGGTGGTACGTGAGGACGAGGGGGATTCTGTTTTGGTTTTTATTGCGGGGAGGGGGTGTGAAGGATGAGTTGTGGGAAATGCGGAAGACACAGTGGAGGGCATTCTCGACCACTGAGGGGGGGAAGTTGCGGTCCTTGAAAAATGAGGACATCTGAGATGTGCGGGAGTGGAATGCCTCATCCTGGGAGCAGATGTGGCGGAGGCGAAGGAATTGGGAATAGGGGATGGCATTTTTGCAGGAAGGTGGGTGGGAGGAGGTGTATTCAAGGTAGCTGTGGGAGTCAGTGGGCTTGAAATGGATATCAGTTTCTAGGTGGTTGCCAGAGATGGAGACAGAGAGGTCCAGGAAGGAAAGAGAGGTATTGGAGATGGTCCAGGTGAACTTAAGGTTGGGGTGGAAGGTGTTGTGAAGTGGATGAACTGTTCGAGCTCCTCGTGGGAGCACAAGGCGGCGCCGATACAGTCATCAATGTAACGGAGGAAGAGGTGGGGTTTAGGGCCAGTGTAGGTACAGAAGAGGGATTGTTCCACGTAACCTACAAAGAGGCAGGCATAGCTTGGGCCCATGCGGGTACCCATGGCCACCCCCTTTGTCTGTAGGAAGTGGGAGGAATTGAAAGAGAAGTTGTTGAGGGTGAGGATGAGTTCGGCTAAGCGCATGAGGGTGTCAGTGGAGGGGGACTGGTCGGGCCTGAGGGACAGGAAGAAGCGGAGGGCCTTTAGGCCATCTGTATGGGGAATGCAGGTATATAGGGATTGGACGTCCATGGTAAAGATGAGGTGTTGGGGACTGGGGAATTGGAAGTTCTGGAGGAGGTGGAGGGGGTGGGTGATGTCACAGACACAGGTAGGGAGTTCCTGGACCAAGGGGGAGAAAATAGAGTCCAGATAGGTGGAGATAAGTTCGGTGGGGCAGGAGCAGGCAGAGATAATGGGTTTGTGGATTTTGGGAAGGAGATAGAAGCAGGCGGTGCGGGGTTGGCGAACGATGAGGTTGGAGGCTGTGGTTGGGAGGTCACCTGAGCTGATGACATTGTGGATGGTTTGGGAGATGATGGTTTGGTGCTCGGGATGGGGTCATAATCAAGGGGGCAGTAGGAGGAGGTGTCGGAGAGTTGGCGCCTGGCCTCGGCGATGTAGAGGTCAGTATGCCATATACAATTGCGCCTCCCTTGTCCGCGGATTTTGTGGTGAGGTTGGGATTGGAGTGGAGGGAGCGGAGGGCTGCACATTCTGCGGGGGAGAGGTTGGAGTGGGTGAGAGGGGTGGAGAGGTTGAAGCGATTGATATCTCGATGGCAGTTGGAGATGAAGAGGTCAAGGGAGGGTAGGAGGCCTTGGAGGAGTGTCCAGGAGGAGGGGGTGTGTTGGAGGCAGGAGAAGGGGTCAGTAGAGGGAGGGTTAGGCTCACGATTGAAGAAGTAAGTGCTGAGGCGGAGGCAGCGGAAAAACTGCTCAATGTCCAAACGTGACCGATATTCGTTGATGTGTGGGTGGAGGGGGACAAAGGTGAGCCCTTTACTGAGGACTGACCTTTCGTCCTCAGTAAGAGGGAGGTTTGGGGGGAATGGTGAAGACTCGGCAGGGCTGGGTGCTGCTGTCTCCTCTGGAGCTGCTGGCTGTGGAGGCAATGGGTGGAGCGACGTCGGCATTGGTAGTGGGCGGATTTGCGTCGGCGGTGGTGGTTGGAGTTGCATCGGCGTCGGCGGTGGGCGGAGCGGCGTCAGCGGTGGGCGGAGCGGGGTAGGCGGCAGCAGCAGCGGTAATGGTAGGTGCGTCCTCAGTGTCTATGGTGTTGGCCTCGGAAATGGAGGCAGTGGCATTAGCAGCGGTGTCAATGGCGTTCGCTGTCCCGGAAGTGGGGTACCTGGCGGCGGCAGACGTGACGTCATCCATGGGTGCTCCGACAGTGGCCACATGTCCAATGGTGGCGGGCACATTGTGGGGAAGGTCCTGGGTAGGGTTGGGGATTTGGGAGGTGGAATAGGCCCGTTTTGGGTGGCAGGCACCAGTAAGTTTACTATACTTACGGTTTTTAGTTTCCAATAAAGCTGAGTAGAATTGTGAGTTCAGGTTGTGGATCCTACGAAGAATAAAAAACAGGAGAGATCCTTTGCAGGTCTGGGAGAGGGAGGCTCTGAGCTGAGGTCGGCTTGATTGTAGTGCCAGGAGATGCCGACGTATTGCTGCGAGTGTGTGTTTCAGGAGGCGCAGGGAGAAACGCTTCTGAAGGATCTCAATGTTCTGAATGTAGACATTGTCACGGTTGGGGCCAAATTGGGAAGGCCTGAATGTGGACTGTAGTCCATTGGGGATGATCTGGTTCCGTAGGCAGGTACTAAGAAAGGTGATGTGGCTGTAGTACCTGATTTGCTTCAGGACATGGTCGAGCAGTTTCAAGGCCGAAGAGATTACGAGAGAGTTGCAGTGGGAGAGAGATCCACTGAGGTTGTTTCGGAAGGAGGAGGGTAACTTCTTCAGGGTAAGCATCCTTAGAAGAGGCTTTGCAGTGGGGTTGAAATTGTTTCAGAGATAGTAGGAACTGTAGATGCTGCAGAATCTGAGATAACAAGGTGTAGAGCTGGATGAACACAGCAGGCCAAGCAGCATCAGAGGAGCAGGAAGGCTGACGTTTCAGGCCTAGACCCTTCTTCAGAAATGGGGGAGGGGAAGGGGGTTCTGAAATAAATAGGGAGAGAGGGGGAGGCGGATAGAAGATGGATAGAGGAGAAGATAGGTGGAGAGGAGACAGACAGGTCAAAGAGGCAGGGATGGAGCCAGTAGAGGTGAGTGTAGGTGGGGAGGTAGGGAGGAGATAGGTCAGTCTAGGGAGGACGGACAGGTCAAGGGGGCGGGATGAGGTTAGTAGGTAGGAGATGGGGGTGGGGCTTGGGGTGGGAGGAGGGGATAGGTGGGAGGAAGGACAGGTTAGGGAGGCGGGGACGAGCTGGGCTGGTTTTGGGATGCGGTAGGGGGAGGGGAGATTTTGAAGCTTGTCAAGTCCACATTGATACCATCCGGCTGCAGGGTTCCCAAGCGGAATATGAGTTGCTGTTCCTGCAACCTTCGGGTAGCATCATTGTGGCACTGCAGGAGGCCCAGGATGGACATGTCGTCTGAGGAATGGGAGGGGGAGTTGAAATCGTTCGCGACTGGGAGGTGCAGTTGTTTAGTGCAAACCGAATGTAGGTGTTCTGCAAAGTGGTCCCCAAGCCTCTGCTTGGTTTCCCTGATGTAGAGGAGGCCACAACAGGAACAGTGGATGCAGTATACCACATTAGCAGACGTGCAGGTGAACATCTGCTTGTTAACACAGACATTAATGGCTAAACGATGAAAAAATTAAATCATAGTAGTCACTAAAGAAAAAAATCTGACAGGTGAACTCACAGAGATATTATACATTGCTAGGGTCCGATATCTTTCCTGGTTATCTTTTAATCGCAGCTCTACAGCTAAAGACATGGATCGAATTTTGGCAATTGTACTTAGTACATATTTCAAATCCTCCAAAGAGTCTGGAGCTCTCTTTAGAGCAACTGAAAGTTCCTGTAAATGGTAAAAGAAAATTAGTCAAAAATTACAAATACAAAACTATTGCCTTTCCCACAGTGTGCAATTTTTCCAAAACAAATAACATTGAATTAAAACAACCTAATTGCAATTCATTCAGGCATCATCCACAGAAAACTGTTGATGGCTTTTACAATAAATTGTTGATGTAAAATAAAACAGTACTTCCAGGTTATTAACTGTACGTTAATTACCTTGAATTGTTATTTTGAGATGGTTTTGTGCAACGAAAATCGTGTCTCACAAACTTGATTGAGTTTTTTTTGAGGAAGTTACCAAAAAGACTGATGAGGGCAGAGTAGTAAATGTTGTTTATTTGGATTTTAGTAAAGCCTTTGACAGGGTTCCGCATGGTAGACTAATTAATAAAGTTAGGTCACATGGGATTCAGGGTGAGCTTGCCAATTGGATACAAAATTGGCTTAACAGCAGGGGACAGAGAGTAATAGTGGAGGTAACAAGGTGTAGAGCTGGATGAACACAGCAGGCCAAGCAGCATCAGAGGAGCAGGAAGGCTGACGTTTCGGGCTTAGACCCTTCTTCGGAAATGGGGGAGGGAAAGGGGGTTCTGAAATAAATAGGGAGAGAGGGGGAGGCGGATAGAAGATGGATAGAGGAGAAGATAGGTGGAGAGGAGACAGACCGGTCAAAGAGGCGGGGATGGAGCCAGTAAAGGTGAGTGTAGGTGGGGAGGTAGGGAGGAGATAGGTCAGTCCAGGGAGGACGGACAGGTCAAGGGGGCGGGATGAGGTTAGTAGGAGATGGGGTGGGGCTTGAGATGGGAGGAGGGGATAGGTGGGAGGAAGGACAGGTTAGGGAGGCGGGGACGAGCTGGGCTGGTTTTAGGATGCGGTAGGGGGAGGGGAGATTTTGAAGCTTGTCAAGTCCACAGTGATACCATTGGGCTGCAGGGTTCCCAAGCGGAATATGAGTTGCTGTTCCTGCAACCTTCGGGTAGCATCGTTGTGGCACTGCAGGAGGCCCAGGATGGACATGTTGTCTGAGGAATGGGAGGGGGAGTTGAAATGGTTCGCGACTGGGAGGTGCAGTTGTTTAGTGCGAACCAAGCTCAGGTGTTCTGCAAAGCGTTCCCCAAGCCTCCACTTGGTTTCCCCGATGTAGAGGAGGCCACAACGGGAACAGCGGATGCAGTATACCACATTAGCAGATGTGCAGGTGAAAGTCTTCTTGGGGCCTGGGATGGGGGTGAGGGAGGAGGTGTAGGGGCAGGTGTAGCACTTCCTGCGGTTGCAGGGAAAAGTGCTGGGTGTGGTGGGGCTGGAGGAGAGTGTGGAGCGGAGGGTTAGGGTTAGGGTTAGGATTAGGGTTGTTTTTCGGACTTGAGCCCTGTGAACAGCAGTGTTCCACAGGGATCGGTTCTGGGTCCTCTTTTGCTTGTCATTTATATAAATGATTTGGATAAAAATATAGAAGGCATGATTAGTAAGTTTTAGGGCAACACCAAAATTGGTGGCATAGCAGACAGTGAAGAAGGTTTTCTAAGCTTACAAAGAGATCTTGATCAAATGGGTCAACGGGCTGAAAAATGGCAGATAGGGTTCAATCTGGATAAATGCGAGGTATTGCATTTTGGTACGACAAACAAGGGTAGGGCTTATACAATTAATGATAGGGCCTTGGGTAGGTTCGTAGAACAGAGGGACCTGGGGATGCAGGTATATAATTCTTTGAAATTTGCGTCACATATAGAGAGGGTGGTTAAAAAGGCATTTGGCACGCTTGCCTTCAATGCTCAGAGTACTTTGAGTATAGGAGTTGAGAAGTCATGTTGAGGTTGTACAGGGCATTGCGAATCTTCTTCTGGAATACCATGTCCAGTTCTGGTTGCCCAGTTTTGGAAGGATATTATCAAGCTGGAGAATAGATTTACCAGGATATTGCCAGGTATGGAAGGTGTGAGTTATAAAGATAGGCTGGATAAGCTGGGACTTTTTTCACTGGAACATGGGAGGTTGAGAGGCAACCTGATTGAAGTTTACAAAACAATGTGAGGTAAAAATAGAGTTAATGGTGGTTGTCTTTTCCCTAGGATAGGGCATTTCAAGACTAGGTGGCACATTTTTAAGGTGAGAGGAAAGAGAGTTAAAAAAGAGATAAGAGACAATTTTTTTACAGAGTTTGTTTCGCTTCCTTGAGCATCACTGAGACAAAACTCTGGCATTGTGGGTCTATCTACACCATGTAGATTGCAGCAGTTCAAAATGGCAGCGCACCACCACTTTCTCAAGGACAACAAGCAATAAGCAATATATGCTGGGCCCTGCCAGTGATGCCCCACTTTTCATGAATGAATTAAAAAATTATGAAACAGCAAATGGCACCAGACCTCGTGAGGTGAATAGCCTGTCTCTGCGTTTTAAATTCTAATATTGTGGTGCGTGTTTATTCACAACACTGCACTTCTTATTGAAAATACAAAACTTTAATAAAGTTTTAGATGCAGAAAAGAATCCGATGTTTTGCCTATTTAAAGCAATCAAACAAATTTTTGAACAATGTGATTTCCCTATGCTCTAGGTTATCCTCCGCCAACAAATCACGGTATGCATATGGAATGAGCTACCAGCGAGTACATTAAAAACATTTCAAAGGTATTTGGACAAATACATGGATAGGAAAGGTTTAGAAGGATATGGGCCAAATGCAGGGAGATGGGGTTAGCATGGATGGACATTTTGGTCGGCATGGACCGGTTTCAGCCGAAGGGTTTGTCTCTGTGCCGTAGGACTCTATGACTCTAATAGTCGGCATGGCTATTTTAAGGAGAAGTCTTGTCTGACCAATGTGATTGAGTTTTTCAGAGAGGTAAGCAGGTGCATGCATGAGGGAAATACATTCAATGTAGTCCATTTAGACTTCTGCAAGGCTTTTGATAATGTCCCACATGGGAGACTGATAGCGAAAATAAGAGATGATGGGATCCAAGTAAATTTGGCAAATTGGATACACAATTGGCTGTGTGGCAGGAAGCAGAGGGTCTAGGGGTGTTTTTGTGACTGGAATCCTGTGTCCAGTGGGTTGGGGCCCTTTATGTTTGTGCTATGTACAAATGATTTAGACATGAATGTAAGAGAGGTGGCCAGTAAGTTTGTAGATGGGGCAGCAGAGTGGCTCAGTGGTCAGCACTGCTCCCTCACAGCACCAGGGACCTGGGTTTTGATTCCAACCTCAGGCAACTGTCTGTGTGGAGTTTGCATGTTCTCCCCATGTATGTATGGGTTTCTGCCAGGTGCTCCCATTTCCTCCCACAGTCCAAACACGTGCTAATTGGGTGGATTGGCCATTCTAAATCGCCCATCGTGTTCAGGGATGTGTAGGTTAAGTGCATTAGCAGTGGGAAATTCAGAGAGAGGGTAGGGGATGGGTCTGCATGGGATGCTCTTTGGACGGTCAGTGTGGACCTGTTGGGCCAAATGGCCTGTTTCCACACTGTGGGGAATCTATGATTCTATGTAACCCAAGTTAGCTATAATCTATACTGTTGCTTCATATGAAAAAGTTACACAGTCTATATACACATTGTCACTATATGAGAAACAGAACTGTTCTAGAAGTTTTATAATACAATGTTTAAGCAATCAAGGCCCCAACTCTCCCCTTACAAATATTTGCTCAGGGCATAACTTTTGTGTTATTTTTTAAAAGTATATTTTAAACAAAAATATAAATTCTAATAATTTAAGTTAAAAAGTTACCTCTAGTTCATTTCTCAGAGTATAGAGTTCCCGTTTGGCAGATTCATTTAGACAATACCCAAGGGAATGTACCCATGAGTTTGCATTTTCTTGGACACTAAATGCCAAGGGTCGCAACTGGAGCCGAATACACTGTTCATCTTTCACCATTGGCTGCTCTGCCACCTCCTCACTGATTCTGGTGTAAAACTGCAACTTCTCATCGTAGCTAACGCAAGAAGGATTCCTCGCTGCAAACTTATCCACAACAATAGACTTATCCATCTTCCACAAGGATCTGTACTTCTTCCAGCGATTCAGATACTTGCTCAAAGAACCAAGAAGTTTTTGGAGGTTTTGACTGGTAGAAACAGCTTGCTCTATAATCTGTGGATACTGAGAAATGTCACTGTAAAAACTGAAGATGATTGGTTCATCATCTCCTTCAACATACTGTGGTGAACATTCAATGCAGGATCCATGCATCCACCGTACAAATAGCTAAAACACATGAAAGAAGTACAATTAAAACATTGCATTTAATAGGCTCAAAATAACCAAACCAACTGACAGAAAGATTATGGTCTTTCAGAAAATCAATGGATACGGGAAGCAGGCAGGATAGTGGAGTCGAAGCCCAAGGTCAGCCATGATCGCATTGAATGGGGGAGCAAACTTGACCTGCTATATGGTTTAATACTGCTCCTTTTCTTGTTTTTTATTATTTCAATCAATCACAATTACTGTCCCTTGAACTTAACAAAACATGCATTTGGGCTGGGAGACTGACTGATTTACCCAATTCTGTGCATAAATTGCTAGAATGAAGAGTGAACTTGTGCAGGAAGGAATATAGGTGAACACTAAGACAAAGACTCAACAATGACCCAATGACTAAATTCACTTGGTGACATCATGGCAATATCTCCTATTATTTCAAATGCATTCTTTCTCAACAAAAGGTACAATGCACATTCTACTATCCCAGATGACTCCACATTAAAGACAGCCCAGCTAAGGGGGTGTGAAGACCTGGAGCACTGTGTAATATTAAAACAGTAGAAGTATGTGGAAGCCACCTGAAAGGCAGTGCAGCCCATTAAATAATAAAAAAACCCTAAAAATTATAAACTACATCTAATTCTGTAAGAACACACATTTTGTTGAAACTGCTCATTGTGCACTCAGATAGCTGTCAGTCATCATCTAAATGAAGCATTCTTCTCAACAATGCCTCTATCACTCAAAGCCCATTTGCCAACAAACCAATCAACAAATCCTGCTCATACAGTATAAAAATGCTGTTGTCCTCCATGTTGACATTGAATATTGACCTGATGAGTGCAAGATGAAAAGCTTTGACAAAAAGTGTCTTTTGTTAGCAGTATTCAATTTTAGTTAACCTTAGTTGTTTCCACGCAGTCTTTTATGTTCTGGAGAGTCAGCTGATAAACTTCAGAGGCAGTGGGTTTTAGGACAATCTCAGGGGCAGAGAGGTGGACTTCAACTTGGAACAGGGGATTGGATCCAAGAATAGAAACATTAATCTGTTGAAGATTTCTGCAGAGAAACAGTTGATGACTTTAGACATGACATGAACAAATGAGCAAGCAACTACAGCATCCCTGTTCAGGTTCAATTTTTATTCTAGGGATGGGCTATAAACGCTGGCCAGCCAGCAACATCCATGTCCCACGAGAAAATAAAATACGTGTTTTACTTGTAGCAATAATAAAGTCACATGTTTTCCTGGTTGGGCTGAATTGGTGTTGGTTAATGTCCTCCTGAATCATAACCGGCCCCTGTTCTCATGATGGAGTTGCGGACTGCTCACGTTAACTACTCATTCACACAACGTGGGCACCACTAGCAAGGATAATATTATAGAGTCATACAGCATGGAAACAGACCATTCAGTCCAACCAGTCCAAGCCGAACATAATCCCAAATTAAACTAGTCCCACCTACCTGCGCTTGGCCCTCCAAACGTTTCTTTTTTGTGTACTTATCCAAATGTCTTTTAAATGTTGTAGTTGTACCTGCATTCACCACTTCCTGTGGAAGTTCATTCCACATGCAAACCACTTTCTGTGTAAAAAAAAAATGCCTCTCATGTCTTTTTTAAATCTTGCTCCTCTCACTTTAAAAAATGTGCCCCCAGTCTTGAAATCGCCCCTCCCAAGGAAAAGACACTTTCCATTCACCTTATCTATACCCCTCATTATTTTATAAACCTTTAAAAGGTCACTTCTCAACCTCTAAGCTTCAGTGAAAAAAGTCCCAGCCTATCCAGCCTCTCCCTATAAGTCAAATGCTACATTCCAGCAACTTCCTTGTAAATCTCTTCTGAATTCTCTACAGTTTAATAATATCCTTCCTATAACTGGGTGACCAGAACTGGACACAGTACTCCAGAAGGGGCCTCACCAACGTCCTGTGCATCCTCAAGGTAACGTCCCAACTCCTATATTCAAAGTTCTGAGCAATGAAGGCAAGCATGCTAAATGCCATCTCAACCACCTTATCTATATGTGATACAAACTTCAAAGAATTATATACCTGAATGCCTAGGTCTCTCTGTTCTACAACACAACGCACAACCCTACATTTAATTGTATAAGTCTTGACTTTGTTTGTTTTTCCAAAATTGAATAGCTCACATTTATTCAAATTAAACTCCACCTCTTCAGCCCATTAACCCAAATGATCAAGATTTCTTTTTAATCTTAGAAAACCTTCTTCACTGTCCACTACACCACCAATCTTGGTATGATCTGCAAATTTACTAACCATGCTTTTTAGATTTTCATTTAAATCATTTATATAAATGACAAACAAGAGTGGACCCAGTATCAATCCCTGTGGAACACCACTGGTCACAGGCCTCCAGTCCAAAAAACAACCCTCCATCATCCTCTCTATCTCCTGTTGTTAAGCCAACCCTGAACCCCATGTGATCTAACTTTAGTAATTTGTCTACCGTGTGGAACCTTGTCAAAGACTTTACTAAAGTCCAAGCAAACAATGTCTACCACTCTGCCTTCGTCAATCTTCTTGGTTACTTTCTCAAAAAACTCAATCAAGTTTGTGAGACATAATTTCCCTTAAATAAAATCATGCTAACTATTCCTAATCATTCCTTGCTTCTCCAAATGCATATAATTCTTATCCTTCAGAATCACTTCCAACAACTTACCCACCATCGAAGTCAGACTCACAGGCCTATAGTTCCCAGGGTTCTCCTTCCATCAACTTCTTAAACAAAGGGACAACATTAGCCACTCTCCAGTCATCCCACAACTCACCGGTATTTATAGATGAAACAAATATTTCTACAAGGGGCCCAACAATTTCCTTGCTAACTTTCCACAAGGTCTTGGGATACACTAGATCAGGTCATGGAGATTTATCCACCTTTATATTTCTAAGACCTCCAGCACTTCCTATTTACTATCAATTTCTTAACTCGCACATAAAGTTTCCTGACTGAGGCAAACATAAAGTGTCCCTTTACATTCCAAGCATGCAAACTCAAACTCAATACATGTGAACTTCTTAAGAATTTGATACAACTCTATAACAAAGTGATGGCTCTTACAGGGTTCAGAAACTGGACTAACCAAAATAAACCCACAACAAAATGTTTTGTTTTTCATTCATCAGTGAAATTTGGACATCACTGCTAAGATTTGCTGTCAAACTTAATTGCCCTTGAGAAGGGGAAGGTGAGCTGCCTTCTTAAATCTCTGCAATGCATGGAGTTGTGGGGGCATCCACAACGCTGTTAGGAAGCAAATTCCAGGATTTTGACTCAGTGACACTGAAGAAATGACATTATCTTTTCAAGTCAGGATTGTATGTTACTTGGAGGTAATTAGCAATTGATGGTGCTTCCAATTATACAAGGTGATGGTTCAAGGGGTTATTGTTCATGATGGCAAATATCACTAGGACTGTAATAACTATTCAGAGCCTGGCATCCCATCACCAATCACTCTTTATTTACAAATGATAGCCTTTGACAATGGGTCCCCTACAGACAGAAACTGGGGAATGTATAATAGGGGACAAAGAAATGGCTAGGCAACTGAATACATACTTTGGTTCTGTCTTCACAAAAGAGGACACAAATCAGATACCAGAAATGTGGAGAATGCAAGATTTAGTGAGAGGGAAGAATAGAGGGAGATCAATATTAGTGGAGAAATGGTGCTGGGAAAATCGACGGGATTGAAGGCAGATAAATCCCCAGAGCCTGATAATCTACATCCCAGAGTACTTAAGGAAGTGGCTCTAGAAATAGTGGATGCATTGGTGGTCATCTTCCAGGATTCTATAGACTCTGGAACAGTCCCTGCAGATTGGAGGGTAGCTAATATCATTCCAATATTCAAAAAGGGAGGTAGAGAGAAAACAGGGAATTATAGACCGGTCAGCCTAACATTGGAAGTAGGGAAAATTCTCGAATCCATTATCAAGGCCTTTATAGTGGAGCATTTAGAAAGCAGTGGCAGGGTCAGACAGAGTCAGCATAGATTTATGAAGGGGAAATCATGCTTGACAAATCTGTTGGAATTCTATGAAGATGTAGCTAATCGAATTGACAAGGGAGAGCCCGTCAATGTGGTATATTTGGACTTTCAGAAAGTGTTTGACAAAGTCCTGCATAAAAGATTATTGTGCAAGATTAAAGCGCATGGGATTGAATGAAGTATATTGAGATAGATGGAATACTGGTTGGCAGAGAGGAATCAAAGAGGAGGAATTAATGGGTCCTTTTCAAATTGGCAGGCAGTAACTAGTGGGGTGCCACAGGGATTGGTGCTGGGACCCCAGCTATTCAGAATATATATCAACGATTGGGATGAGGGAACAAAATCTAACATCTCAAAGTTTGCAGATGATACTGATTTGGGTTGGAGGGTGAAGTGTGACGAGGATGCAGAGATCCTTCAGCATGACCTCGAAAGGTTGGGTGAGTGGGAAAATCAATGGCAGATGCAGTATAGTTTGGATAAAACCGAAGTTATTCATTTTGGAAGTAAAAACAAGAAGGCAGATTACTACCTGAATGCCTGTAAGTTGGGAGAGGGGAGTATGCAGCAGGACCTGGGTGTCCAGTCGCTGAAGGTAAGCATGCAAGTACAGCAGGCGATAAAGAAGGAACATGGTATGTTGGCCTTCATTGTGAGGGAGATTTCGAGTACAGGAGCAGGGATGTGTTGTTACAGTTATACAGAGCCTTGGTGAGGCCACACCTAGAATACTGTATGCAGTTTTGATCTCCTTTTCTGAGGAAGGATACTCTTGCTCTCGAGGGAGTACAGCGAAGGTTTACCAGGGTGATTCTGGGGATGGCAGGACTGATGTATGAAGAAAGATTGACTAGATTAGGATTGTTCTCACTGGAGTTCAGGCAAATGAGGGGTGATTCAAAGAGACTTATAAAATTCTACCAGGACTGGACACAGTAGATGCAGGGAGGATGTTCCCAATGGTGGGGGTGTTCAGAACCAGGGATCATCGTCTGAGGATTTGGGGTAGACCATTTAGGACTGAGATGAGGAGACATTTCTTTAGCCAAAGAGTGGTGAGCCTGTGGAATTCATTACCACAGGAAGTAGTTGATGCCAAAACATTTAATGTATTCAAGAGGTGGCTAGATATGGCACTTGGGGCAAATGGATCAAAGGTTATGGGGAGAAAGCAGGATTAGGCTATTGAGTTGGATGATCAGCCACAATCATGATGAATGGCAAAGCAGGCTCGAAGGGGTGAAAGACCTCCTCCTGCTCCTATCTTCTATGTTTCTATGTCACTGCCTCTCCCTTAGTTAGGTATTCCAGGGGCTCAATATTCCTAACATTCATCCTGTTATATCAGCAAGGTCTCCCTATTGGACCTGATTAACAGCCCCAGTAAGTCAACTCCTATTCTATGAGGTCCAGCTGGCGGACCTCGTTACAATCACTATATCCCTCCCCCACTCAGACTACAGACACATAGCTATCCGATTCATTTCAGAGCCTCCTGGGGTGTTTTAACACTGGGTAACGAACAGGAGTTCGCCTCTTGTGCCTATAGTGCCTTGGTAGACTTTCACTCCCTTCTTCCGGATGCAGAAGTGTCGATTCAGAGGACTCAACAATGTTTGACGGAGAGGATGAATCAGTGGGTCCCTGAAATATTTCTGAAAGCTCCAAAGGCAGGGCAAGCTTTGCTCCTGCACAGTCTGCAAATGTGTAGCTTTCAAATGGTCCACATCCTTATTCAGGATAGTCCTACCAATCCAAACTTTATAAGTCACTGGTCCTGATATCACATCAATCATGCCTCTTAACCATTTCCATGATTCTCTCATCAAACTTTGTCACCTGTATCAAACTGTCTCTCTTGCTTGGTGGACCTTTGCATTCGGCACTGGAGTTCCTGATGCCATTTCACTGTCCCCTCCAGGTCCACAAATATCAAAGGTAAACCTCGGACTTTGTTGCATGTTGACAATGCCAAATCCTTTCATGAGTTCAATGTTTTTAGTCATTGCACATGCCCAATCAAAGTGGCTGAATGTGTACAGTGTCCAATCGTCCAACACTGGAGCGACGATAGAAAAACTGCACACATCTTTTGCGACACTCAGAGTCCTGGAGGTAATTGTCACAGATAACAGGCCATCGTTTACCAGCACGGCCTGGTGCAGAGTCTTTTAACCATTAGCAACTCTGCCAGTGCTATCCCTGTAGTCAAATGTGGTGTGGTTCTATAATCAAACAAGAACTGACAACTTGGTATCTAGTGAGGCTATAGGCTGTTTCTTAAGTCCAGTCTTCAAATTTTGGACTGCTCTTTCTGCCAGGCTAGAAGATGATGGGTGGTATGGATCTGTCCTAATAAGTCCTTATCGATTTTAGGAAGTAACTAAAGTCCGTGCTGGTAAACGATGGCCCGTTATCTGTGACAATTACCTCCAGGACTCTGAGTGTCGCTCCAGTGTTGGACAAATGGACACTGTACACATTCAGCCACTTTGCTTGGGCATGTGCAATGACTAAAAACATTGAACCCATGAAAGGACTTGGCACTGTCAACATGCAACAAAGTCCAAGGTTTACCTGGCTATTCCCACGGGTGTGGGGAAGCTGCTGGCAGTAATTTTTGGCCTTGTTGACACTCTTGGGGCTATTCCGCCAATGCAGCTATGTCTGCATCCAAGCCTGGCCACCAGTCATAACTTTGCCAATGTCTTCATTTTGGAGACCCCTGGATGTCCCTCGTGGAGTTCAGCCAGTATTTGTGGTGATCTTTGCTTCGAACAATCACTCTCACTCCCCATAACGAGACGCCATCCTCTATGTTAGCCAGTCTCTCCGGGTCCAAGAAGGATGCATAAGCTATTGGGCGTTCCTCTCCAGCGGGCCACCCGTGAGCTAATACCACCCTAATGTCATATGGGGAGGCATTGCACATCAATACCAAATCTTTCTTGGGATCACAGTGTGCCAACACATTACAGAATGATAGTTGCTTCTTTACTTCATTGAAAGCTAGGCCTGTCTATAAGATCATTTCCAAGGCTGACCCTTTTTTAGGAGTTGATACAATGGTGCCAGGATGAATGCTAGGCTGTGTATGAACTTTCCGTAATAATTTACCAGACCCAGAAATTACCTAAGCTCCTATACTGGTGTGAGGAGCTGGGGCATCTTTGATCACCCTAACTTTGTCTTCCAATGGGAGCCTTGGTAGGTCACTTGGCAGGACCCTGGAAAACACATTTTTCCCTTCAGAGGCATACGCCTGCATTGGAAAAATGCCTTAGGACTATATCTATGTTCTCTAAGTTTTCCATGTCAGGACTTCATTTAGGTAAATGGCGACCTGAGGTAGACCTTGCAAGATGTTCTCCATTATCTGCTGAAAAATTGAACAGGTTGATGATGTTCCGAAAAACTGTCTCGTATATTGGTACATGCCCTTATGGGTATTAATTGTAGCATACTTCTGAAAGTCCTGGTCTAAATGCAATTGCAAGTAAGCATAGCTCATGCCTTGACAACTCATTCACTTTCCAGTTTCCTGAGTTCTTTCATCTTGTACTAACCAAACTTCCCCACCACTGTTCCCTTCCTGCACGCTACCTCACCACCATTCCCTTCCTGTCTGTCTTTTCAAAAACTCACATTCACTTGAATATTTAGTGATTTAGTGAATATTTAGTTAATTCATTTATTTTGTTCCAAATGCAATGCATATTTAAGAGCCATTTAATTTGTCTTTTTAATCTTTTTTCACCCTTTGACCTTATTTGCTCCTGTATCCTTATGCTTTCTGCAACACTCTGGGCACCATTACCAAAATAGTCCCCTGTAACGCTACCATCTCCTTTTACTTTATAAGCCATCATCTTCCTCTTTCCCCACCCCCACCCACTCATCGACACCACCACTATCCACACCCCACCCTCCCACCCACATCATAAACCCCCAAACACCTGCCCCATAAAAATTATTTTAAACCTTCTCTACAACCCTAATCTTGTCCCGGTATGATTCGAGTGAATTCTGTCAGACTGGAGCACTACCCTTCTATCGCAGTAACAGTGTCAGTGTGCTATGAACTGTAATCCATTTCTCCCACACACATGTTTAAGCCACACATTTACCTCCTTATTTACCCTGAGCCAATATGCCTGTGGCTCAGGGTGTAATCTTGAGATTATTATCTTGGAGGTTCTTCTTTTAAGTTTAGCTTCCAAAAATTCAACATCTTTCAGCAGAAGCTCCTTGCCAGTCCTATCAATGACTTAGTACCAACATGATCTAAGACAACTGGATTCCTCCCAACCCACTCGAAGTCCCTTTCAGGATTTTAAGATCACTATCCTGAGACTAGCTTTTTATTCTACATCTATTCAATTTAAATTATATTTCCCAGTTACCATGGTAGGAACTGAACATTTGTTTTTGGATCACTAGTTTGTGTCTCTGGATTACTAATCAATAGAACAAGACTATGTTACCTTTCCATTAATATTGTGACAGAAACCATAATTATTTTACTGGTATAAACCCATATCAAATCACCCCCACTTCTCTCAATCATAAAGACCAGACAGAAACAGAAATAAAATTGAAATGTTAAAAAAGAATCACTCAAAATAAGTACATTTTCTAGTGAGCAAATTTATGTGGTAGGGGAAGGAACAGACTACAGCCCTCAGTGTACCCAAACTACTATTCTGTCAAATGTGTTTCTACATTAAGAGTCTCACAGCATTTACCTTCACATCCATTTCAAAAACAACATTATACTTACTTTGAAATCATTTTGATGAGACAGTCATAAACTCTGCGCTCCCAGAATTTGTAGTACAGTGCCATTTTTGAAGCCTTCCCAGTATTGGTGTGGAAAACGAGACCTTCCATTTTTGTCAGCAAAGGCCCGATGGCTTTATATTTACTCACTAAATTCAGGATATCCTTTGTTCGTTCCTGTTCTACGTACTCATAAAATTCCTTTACTCCTAAGACAGACAACCAGAACATTTCACTTTGTTTGTGAAAATTTTACACCTTAGCAATACTGTTTTCCAAACTTTGAAATAATTCTACAATACCTGCAAGATCTTCTTTTGATTTGGGTGGTGGCCTTTTAAAGAGATCTGCCGACTCTATCGCTGCAAGTTTTGTTGCAATGTCTCTGACATTTTTATGGATCTGATTTACAAGGGATTCAAATTTTCCAATTGCTTGATCACAGCGACCAAGATAATCGTGAATACCTATTGAAAATAACAATCAAACTTTCTAGTTTAATCGCATCATATAGTAGTAGCATTTTTGATGTACATTAAATGGAAAGCATCTTTTTCTCCTAAGTCTCATTGTTGATTTTATTATTTTCAAGAGCAACAATCATCATATCATTAGTTATATCATTTGTGACTTTAAAACAGAGGAGATGAGGAGACAATGTTTCTCATGACAATTTTACATCGTAATCGCTTGCGGGCTTCCTGGGGGCACTCAATCACAGTAAATAGATGATCAGAAGAGGAGTGAGAGCGAGCAGGGATCAGAAAAGGATTGATGGATGGAGGTAGGGGATATGGATAAGATGTTAAATGAATATAATGCAACTGTCTTTAGCAAGGAAGAAGTCTGTGCAACACAGTAAAGGGAAATCCAAGGCTGAGGTAGGAAGAGGGCAACCACTAACTTCTACTGTAGTATATTTTTCCACTGGAACTCATTTAGAAAGAGATGACAGAGCAATTACAGCTGTTATCAGACCACCCAAATGCTGATACAAAAGGAACAAAATTAGTGATATTACCTAATGAATTCCAGTTTAGTCTTTTATAACCTGATCGAATAACTCGTTGAAGCTCTCGAATATGTTCTGTCATGAGTTTTGTCTCTGCTGAACTTAGGGAATCCATCAGTTTTGCATAACGATTTAGCATGTTTCTTAGTCCAGTGGTGTACCTAAAGACCCAAGTTGTAAAATATACACTGCATTATTCTTGCACCAAAATCAGTGAATTGTATTCTATACGAAAGAATAGCTGGCTTCAGCCACTCTGAATAAGGGTCAAATAGGTTTAGTTCATACCACTGTTACTTGTGACTCAAACATAGTGTTCTGAAGACCCAGTTCCAAGACTTAAGCACAAAACCTAGACAAACACTCCAGTGCAGTATTAAGGGAATGGTGCTCTAGTATGGCACCGTCTTTCATTATACTGTGGCCCAATCTGGTCTCTCGGGAGATGCTCCGAAGGCAAGATTTCAAAGTGTCCAAGCTGATTTGTAGAACTCAAACATTCTGAGTTACTGTGACAACACTTCAAACAGTACTTTTTTGACTATACAGCATATTAGGATGCTCTGAAGCTGTGGGAAATCTATGTATATGCACTTTCATTCATGCTTGAAACAAAACAGCTTCACAATAAAGTCTAAATGCACCTCATTGCTTGTGGGAAGAGAGGGTGTTCTTTTCCCATTATATTGAGGACTGCCTTGTAATCTGTTTATGAACAAGTCACACTGACTGGGAGCATCTAAGGAGCTTTCTCTGAATCAAACATCCCAATGGACAAAGGAAGGTGGGAGAATGCAGATAGAATGAGATCATTTATTTCCATTGTCCAAATGTGCTGTTGTTTTCTTAGGCTAAAATCATACCGGAGAAACTTTTGTTCCTGAAGAGCCACATTCCTGGCTAGTTGTGGTATTTGAAATCCTAATTGTTCCATATACTTGGACTCCATTATAATTTCTTGCAGTTCTGGGGAAAAATTCACTTCAAATTTGGAACTGACATCGTACCAGTCCTCATGAACAGTCAAATTCTATATTAGAGAAGCAAAGTCAACACTGAGAAACAGCAGATTAAAAGATGTAGAATAACAATGGTTATGCTTTAACATGTTATACTTAGCATAAGAATAACTGTGTATGTAAATTATATGACAGCCACAATTTGCTTGAAATTATTTGTGTTTAGCAACACAGTACCAGCAATAGTTTAGTTGGTAGCATCCTCAGCGCTGAGTCAGAAAGTTGCATTTCAAAACTGAGCACAAAAAATCCAGGCTGACATTCCATTGTAATATTGAGGGAGTGCTGCACTGTTGGAACTAGAATGTTTTAGATAAGATGTTAAATCAAGGCCCTGACTTTTTTCTTAAAGTGGGCATCAAAGATACCATGGCACCATTTCAATCATCCCAGGATCTTGGTCAATAATCAGCCTTCAATCAACATTACAACTATAACATTATCTGACCATTATATCACTGTTGTTTGCAGAAGTTGCTGTGCAAGTTGGCCAGTATGCTTTCTATATTACAACAGTGACTATATTTCAACAGTCCTTCATTGGCTGTAAAATACTTCAAGACATCTGATGTGTTACATTGGCCCATTGCCACAGAAACAAGCCACCAATAACAACAGTTTCATACCAATGTTAATACTCCACACAAGCCTCCTCCACACCCTCCTCACCATATGCTATCAGTAGAACATTCTATTCCTTTCTCCATCACGTACCTGTCAAGCATCCCCTTAAATGTCCCTATGCTACTTGCTTCAACTATTCCATGTGGTAATGAGTTCCATAATTCAAACACTTTTTGGATAAAGACATTTTCCTGAATTTCTTATCAGGTTTATTTGTGATGACCTTATATTAATGGCCCCTAGTTCTGGTCTCAAGAGGACATATTTTCCTCTAAGTGTCCCATTCATCATCTTAAAGATCTGTATTTGTCACCCTTTAGCATCCTTTTAGAAATAAGAAAGAACCGAGCCTCTTTCTTGATAAGAATATCTTCTCAGTTCAAGGTAGCATCCTTGTGAATCTTTTTACTCTAGTGTCTCGATATACAGTTAATGGAGGGCCCTGGGTTGTTGAATAAAGAGACCTAGGGGTGCAGGTGCATAGTTCCCTGAAAGTGGAATCGCAGGTAGACAGAGTAGTGAAGAAGGCTTTTGGCATGTTTGCCTTCATTAGTCTGAACATTGAGTATAGGAGTTGGGATGTCATGTTGTGGCTGTTGAGGACATTGGTGAGGCCACTTTTAGAAAACTGCATACAGTCCTGGTCACCCTTCTATAGGAAAGATGTTGTTAAACTTGAGAGGGTTCACAAAATATTTACAAGGACATTGCCAGGACTGGAGGGTTTGAGTTATAGGGAGAGGCTGAATGGGCTGAGGCTATTTTTCCCTGGAGCATCGGAGGCTGAGGAGTGATCCAGTAGAGGTTCATAAAATCATGGGGAGCATGGATAGAGTGAATAGGTCTAGAGTTGTGGAATCTAAAACTAGAGGCCATAGGTTTAAGGTGAGAGGGGAAAATTTTTAAAAGGGCCTAAGGATAACTTCTTCACGCAGAGGGTGGTGCGTGTATGGAACGAGCTGTTAGAGGAAGTGGTGGATTACAACATTTAAAAGGCATCTAGATGGGTATACGAATAGGAAGGTTTAGAGGGATATGGGACTTGGTCAGATTGGGATGTCTGGTCAGTGTGGATGAGTTGGACAAAAGGGTCTGTTTCCGTGCTGTATGAACCTTTGACTCTATATATGTTACAATAGGATGGTCAGAACTGCATACATTACTCCATGTATGATCTAATCAAGGTTCAATATGTGTTTAACATCACTTCTCTGCTTTTAAATTTACCCCTCTAGAAATCAAGTCTAGATCTTGCTTTGTTTGTAAGTGGTCTCATTAACCTGCATTGCCACATATAATGACTTGTGAATGAGTGCCCAGGTGAACTATTCTTCTGCCTGGTCTTCCTGCATTTTTGCAATAGGTGTTTAGTCTCTGCTCAGTGGCTTGTTCACAGCAGAATAGCTCTGGATATCTGCAATGCTCCTTTAATGCCACAGGATTCCTTAATGTTCCCATCTCAACGCGCCATCCCAACAGATGTTATTCTCATGGTACAGTTGATACAGCTTGTTAATAATTTGTAAACATGAGGGCTCATATTCTGTCTTACAAAACATAAACTAGGAGTTCTTACTCCGGGAGAGTTTATGGTATAAACAAATGATTATTGGTAATATAGAGTACAAAGGCCTCCATGGAATTTACAATACCATATTCAATACAAAACAATTATTAAATAACTACTTATTGTCCAGTTGCTTTATTTGATGCTAAATGAAGGTATGTATGGAAGGCCTGCAGGAAAGTAATTGCTTGTGAATTCTCAGTCATTGCTATACGGCATTTTCCTATAAATCAGCAGTCCCCAACATATAGTGTCTTTCAAAAGCAAAATGATGAGGAAGCTGGAAATCTGAAAAGAAAACAGGAAGTGCTGGAGAAACTCAGCAGATTTGGCAGCAGAGATAGTAAGAACTGCTGACGCTGGAGTCAGAGATAACACAGTGTGGAGCTGGAGAAACACAGCAAGCCAGGCAACATCAGAGGAGCAGGAAAATTGACGTTTCGGGTCGGGACCCTTCTTCAGAAATGGGGGAGGGAGTAGGGAGCCAGAAATAAATAGAGACAGGAGGGGTGGGGCTGGGGAAGGTAGGTGGGATGGTGATAGGTGAGTGCAGGTAAGCAGTGGTGGGGATTGGTCAGTGAGGTGGGAGGAACAGATAGGTGGGAGAGAAGATGGACAGGTTGTGTCAGGTCAAGGAGGCAGGAATGAGAGGCAGGGTTGGTCATGGGATGAGGCCAGGGGTGGGGAGATTTTGAAACTGGTAAAGCCCACATTGAGACCATTGGGCTGTAAGCTCCCAAGGCGGAATATGGGGTGCTGCTCCTCCAGTTTCCGGATGGCATCATAGTGACACTGGAGGAGGCCCAGGATGGACATGTCACCCAGGGAGTTGGAGGGGGAGTTAAAATGGTTTGCAACTGGAAGGTGTTGTCGTTTGTTGCGAACAGAGCACAGGTCTCCGAACCTCCACTTGGTCTCACCGACGTAGAGGAGGTCACATCGGGAGCAGTGGATGCAATAGACCACATTGACAGATGTGCAGGTGAACCTCTATTTGTTGTGAAAGGTTTGTTTGGTGCCTTGGATGGAGGTGAGGGGGGAGGTGTAGGGGCAGGTGTAGCACCTCCTGCGGTTGCAGGGAAAGATGTCGGGAGTGGTGGGGCTAGTGGGGAGTGTGGAGTGGACAAGGGAGTCAATGAGATAGCGGTCCCTACGAGTGGCAGATAGGGGCGGGGAGGGAAATATATTTTTGGTTGTGGGGTCGGAATGTGGGTGGCGGAAGTGGCAGAGAATGATACATTGGATTGGCCTTCTCCAGTGTCACAATGCTGCCACCCAGAAACTGGAGGAGCAGCACCTCATATTCCGCCTTGGGAGCTTACAGCCCAAAGGTCTCAATGTGGGCTTTACCAGTTTCAAAATCTCCCCACCCATGGCCTCAGCCCATGACCAACCCTGCCTCTCATCCTCACCTCCTTGACCTGACACAACCTGTCCATCTTCTCTTCCACCTATCCACTCCTCCCACCTCACTGGCCAATCCCCACCTCTCCCTACCTGCACTCACCTATCACTATCCCACCTACCTTCCCTAGCCCCACCCCTCCTCTCTATTTATTTCTGAGCTCCCTACCCCCTCCCCCATTTCAGAAGATTTGGCAGCATCTCTGAAAAGAGAAACAAAGTTAACATTTTGAGTACAGTATTCAGAAATGAGATAACACAGTGTGGAGCTGGAGGAACACAGCAGGCCAGGCAGC